ACAATAATAATAATAACCTCCACAACGATAAGATAATTAGCCTTCTTGTATCATCCCTCTAATCCTAACATATTTCTTAGCCTGCATGTATTTGAAGAATTCCTTACTATTAAGTTTTATTTTCAGCCAACATTTTTCATATAGTTCTTTACTTTCCTTATTTACCATTTGACCAATGCTTTTATCTTCTATATCCTTCTATATCTCCCATCATTGAAGTTAATTTAAACGTCTTATATATATATAATGGTTTACTTCAATCTTATATTTTATATTTTATCTGAACCGACCTGGTTTTTTACTTATAGCCACCTTTTTTTTGTCTATAAGGAACATGCCTATCTTGAATATTTAAAAATGTATTTCCAAACTTTTTCAACATTCCAACAAATTCCAAAAAAGCCAATTTTGAAGAGGTCAAACAACAATTATTTGCCATGAATTGGTCACCTGAATTAGTTGGAGATACTGAAAACCAACATCAAATTATTCTTCAAATCTAATTGAACAATGATCACTTGCACCCAGATGTTCCCCAACCTCTACCCTATCAACCTTTTCTTTATTAGAAGTTAACAATGGATCTACAATAGCATTATTCCTAGTAGGCTTCCAAACCATCTGTTGAAGAAAACCATCCCTCATGATTTAAATCTAACCTTTCCCAATTTATGTGCCCTCACACTTGAGTTAATAGCCCTTGCAAACAAAGTTCCTGTGTAAAAGATCTACCTGCAAATTATATAAATATCTACAAATACCAAGAATATGACTAAAGTAAACATTTATTATTAAATTATTTCTTATATTACAAAGTTTAGGACATTTTCCACTCACTACGAAATCTACGACTACTTTCACCAGCATTCAAAATCAAGAGACTGAGGAATCAAGATCACCTAAATCACAGAATCCAGAGTGCTTATAAATATTTAACATAATGTATAGGAACAACAAGGGACCTATTGGCCTATCTTGGCTGTCCCATCCTCTAAACTAAACTAAAACTATCAAATAATTAAATTATAAAATAATAATAATAAACAAATAAAATACTTAAAGCCAGTTCTTATCATTCATATACTTATCAAGCTTTCTCTTAAACTCACTTAAATTTACTGCCTCCACAACATCTGAAGGCAACCCATTCCATACACCAACAATTCTGTTAGAAAAATAAAACTGTCTTAGCTGAAGATGACTCCTACCTTGCCAAAATGTATATTTGTGTCCTTAGTCCTACTATTCTTACTCTTAGGTATGAAAAAAGATGATGCATCAACACTATCAATTCCGTTAACAATGTTAAATACCTCAATCAGATCCCCTCTAACTCATCTTTTTCTAAAATAAAACATTTTGAGAATTTTCAACCTCTCCTCATATGATAACCCCTCCATCCAAGGCACCGTTCTAGTAACACTCCTCTGAACCATTTTCAACAATTCAATATCCTTCCTAAGGTAAAGAGTCCAAGACTGAACACAATATTCCAAATACTGCCTAATCAATGACCTATACAAAGAAACTATACCCTCTTTAGACTTGTATTCAATATTTGTGTAGATATGACCTAAAATCCTATTTGCCCTACTTTCATGACACTATTAAGTTCTTTCATGACACTATTAAGGTTATTCTCATCCAAATTATACTTATAATTCAAATTATGATAACCCACATGCATTATCTTGCACTTATTATAACTAAAAC